TCTGTTCCAAGCATTCAAGGCTGCTGCATGGCATAAAGCCAGCAGGGTGTGGTCATCCTATAGAGATTGCATTTCTACATTAGAATAATCTCCCTCTCTAAGAAGTTTGTCTTCAGAAATTTCCATACCTCTGACCCTACTTTGTTGTTCAATGGTCTTAGCCTCATCTTTCCACCAGGTCCTCCACGGTATCTGAGGACCAGGCTCCAAGACTGCTGTAACCAAGTCTCTCTAGACTTGAGGGCTAATTCTATTACAAGTTGGCAATGAGTTTAACATTTATTTCACAAAAGGTGAATGCACGCCATATGAGACTATCGCTTTCTTCAATCTCCTCAAATCTAACGTTTGCACAGGAGTCCATTTAGCTCTTACATAGTCTTGGGGATATCTATCATTTGGAAGTTCCTGTAAGGCTACTGGATAAATTAAGGCTGGCTTTTTGAAAACCTTATGCTGTTCCTCTGTAACCTTATAATGCAATGCTGAGATTGGTTCTCTTTTAAGTTCCTCTGTCTGCGTCTGAATATCTCTATGGTCTGTTTTAATAAGTTTTTCTAAAACTTTTATCTTGGCACTCATTTTAACCAACTTTTTAAATGATAAAACAAAAATGATCAAACAGATAATATTTATAATTGATTATGTAAATCCCATCTAAATTAACTATCCTCTCATTTAATTGCTCCATTTTCAAGCTGTCCAGCATATTATCATACAGAGACCTAACTCCCTCCACTGTAATAGTGTTTCCCACTTTTTAATGTGGGGAAAAACTCTCTCCTTTAACTATTCCTCCCTTTAAGAATTCCCAATTGTCTCACCAAATCGGCCAACAAAGACGATGAAGATGTGAGGCTGACGGCTTCTGCAAAGAACAGTAGAAGCCTGAGCAGGTTACCTAGTGTGGCAGCCTTCTGAGGAGGGGGTCCAGGGAAAGTCCACAACCCACTAGGAGAAGAGAAGCCAGCCGTCTGCATGGGGGAACGTGAGAAAGTGCCTAACTCCTGCAGGGTTTGGGGGCCAAATGCTTGTGTGTGGAGTTTGCTGCAGAGAGGCTGCAACAGAAGAATCCCAGACTCACTCAGAGGCTTTGGACAAAAGAGAGAAGAACCCAGCCAGCAAGGCAGTGACTCCAGCAGGAGCTCCCTGTGTGCAGGTCCTGGTGTGTACCAGTGGCTGCAAAGCCATGGGCAAGAGGCTTTTTCGTGAATTTATGCCCCACAAATTGGACGCCAGATGTAGCACGAATTCTAATTGGTCTTAAAAATAAAAACCTGGAGTCAGATATCTGACTTTTAAAAGCTGAAAGATCAGAGAAGCAGAGCAGCCAACCAATAGAAAGACTTCTTACCTCTAGGAATCCTCAGACTGAAAGGGCCAAACTCCTGTCTCCACCCCACCTTATCACTTCCTCTCTCCACCCAGCCATATTACTTCCTGTTTCCTCCTCCCAAGTGCTGGGAGCAAAGGCATGAGATCCCAAGTGCAGGGATTAAAGGTGTGTGCCACCACTGCCTGGCCTCTAGTGGCTAGCTCTGCGCGCTGATCTCCAGGCAAGCTTTATTTGTGAGAGCACAAACAAAATATCCCAAGATTATGTAAAGCTATTATTGAGAATGGCGTGTGTTGGTCACTCCTTTTCCCCGTCTGTGTTCATAGTCTGATTTTGTGTTTCAGTAAATATAGCTTCATTAGCTTTCTTTCTGTGGCCTCTTTACTGTGTTCATTTTCTCTCTTCAGTCTGCACTATTACTTTCAGTATTCTCTGCAGGGCCAGAAGAGAGAGAGAGAGAGAGAGAGAGAGAGAGAGAGAGAGAGAGAGAGAGAGAGAGAGAGAGAGAGAGATTCTCATCAAAAGTTTTTCTTTATGTTTCAACTGTGGCAGATAGCTTTGCTAGGTAAAGTGGTCTGAGGTGGCATTTGTGGTTATTGTAGAACTTAGAGTACATTGATAACTTCAGTCTCTTCTGGTTTTTGCAGTTTCTATTGAGACTAGGCTGCCAGCAGACGGTGTGGCCCAGATTAAAGGTGGATCTCCCCACTCCAAAGAGCTGAATTAAAAGTGGGTCTTCTTACTTCAGGTGATTTAATTAAGAAAAAAAAATGTTAGCAACGTACCCGGCCACTTGGATTTCAGAGTTCATTCCAGATGCAGTCATGTTGACACCCAAGAGGGGCCATCACAGCGTGACTTGGGATTTTTTCTCTTGAAGCTTTCGATATCCTCTCTTTGTTGTGTGTATTTAGTGTTGTAACTACTTTTCTGGTCTGGTTTCTTTGGTGTTCTGTGTGCTTCTCGAATCTACACCCAAAGGGTCTTTCTATAATGTGCTTATTTATATTGTTTCTGTGTGGGTGAAGGTCACGTGTTCAGAACCCACTTCCACACAATGTTTCCATGTCAGGGGTCTCAAAACAGCAGATCTCTCCTGCTCTCACCCTCTGGGGAACTCCAACATGGCAAGCCGCCTGGTTGAGCCGACTCTCATTTAAGCCAGAAGCTAAGCACCTAGACACATGAAAGCTGCCAGTCTGAGGACTTAATACAGGGGCAACATATCAAGATCCAAAGAGGAGAACTGAAAACTGAGGAGGTGTGAACACGAAAACTTGGATGGCGGAGACAGCATGTCAGAATTTCAATAGTTTGTTGAAGCCGGCTGCAGACACAGGCGCCCCCATTGAATCCAGAATCAATTCCCTAACCTCTGTTTTCCCCCCTGTGTGGTAGAAAAGACCAGATAGGTTAAAAGTATTTCTCAAGTGGTTGAGGGGAAGTGAGAGTGAACAAGGAGACAAGAGAAGCCCAGAGGCAATCAGCCTGGGAAATCCTCAGAGGCCTCTGAGGCACATCCCTTAAGCAGGGGTCCGTCTGCAGGCCCAGGGGCTTGGTCTCAACAGATCAGCGGGTCAGCCATCAATCAGCCTCTGTGTCCCCCGCCCCGCCCCGCTCAAGGCAACCCCAGAGCTAGCTTCCTCCCGGTCCTAACCCCACCAGTGCCCACTTTACGCTTCATTTAGCTTCCCGAAAATGTCTAGTTTCTGTGAACTTGCCTAGAGGTCAACTGGAGGTGGACATCACCACCTGGGGCTCCATACTCTGGTCTCCCAAAGGTAGGGTGGGCAGAGTGGCCCTGAGACTGGGTGGAGGGGTGGGGTGTGCGCGCGCGGGGGGGTGGGGTGGGGTGGGGTGGGGTGGTATCCAAGGTCTGTCCTCGTTCTTGGGCCCCACCCACTCTGTCCCCCGCTGCCACGCCCTCTGGAGCTGGTCATTGGCCCAGCAGCACTGGGAGCTGGGAAGCGTGCAAGTGTGTGTGTGTGTGTGTGTGTGTGTGTGTGTGTGTGTGTGTGTGTGTGGCGGGGGAGCTTGTTTCTGAGGCTTGATTTGGAGGGGCGACTGGGGGCTGGTCGAGATTGAGACACAACCTCCCCTTCAATCTTTCACCTCACACCTCAGCACATCCTCTGTCATGGCTTTAAAAAAAAAAATTGGAGCCATGAATGGGGAACAGAAACTTAGAGCAGGGCGCGTTACGTCATCGTCATATGGCCGCCCTACCTACCCGAATTGAGACAGTTGGAGGCTCAGGAAACACAGGGCCAATTACCCCCCCCCCAAAAAAAAAGGTAGAATGTGCATTAAGAAAAGTATCTGGGGAAAGGAGTAAAGGGCTAGATCCTGCAGGTGGAGGCAAACAGTGGGATGGTGGTGGCGCACTGTGGATTTTGAATACAGTAGAGAGAAGAGGGAAGGACATGGAGAGAGAAGGGAGCGGGGAGAAGAGTAGCTGTAGTCGAGCCAAGAATTTAGGGAAAGGAGTGGAAAGATGGGTGGACCACAGCGCGGCAGAGAGTTAAAGATGATACGGTGCAGTAGGCAGAGGGACAGAGGGGAGCATGATGGAGTGGAGTTAGCCGGAAACTTGAGAGAGAAACTAGGATCTCGGAGACAGACACAGGGCGGAATGAATACCTTTGGGAAAGGGTGGGGTTGCTCAAAACAAAACCCAACCAAACAGAAGTGAGAAGGAGCAGGGAGTGTGCGGCTTGTGGGGGACAGAAGTGGTGATAAGAAAGAGGGGCGGAGCCTGAGGTGTGGACCCAAGCGGTTTTTGGTTCGTTCGTTTGTTTGTTTTGTTTTCAGTGTGAAATAATGAGATCTTGAAATCCCCAGTCCCAGTCAATTACGGGAGGTTGGCGTTTCAGGTGTTGACGACTAGCTCTCGTTCTCTGGGAGCGAGGGAAGAAAGTAGGGGCAGAACCCAGACGAGCCTCCTGAGTGTGACATTCCACTTAAAGGGTGAAGCGTCGCTGCTTGGATGAAATCTTAATCTCCAGCCAATGGGTCTCAATTCTGGAGGGCATGCTAAAAAACCGGTCGTTAACCTCAAAGACTACTTTTTCGAGACAGGGTTTCTCTGTGTAGCTTTGAATCCTGTCCTGGAACTCACTCTGTAGACCAGGCTGGCCTCCAGCTCACAGAGATCCTCCTGCCTCTGCCCCCTGAGTGCTGGGATTAAAGGTTACGCCACCACTGCCCAGCCAAAGACTACATTTTGAGAAGCGCAGTGCGGTAGAGCACACAAGGAAAGATGGAGTTTTACCAGCCCAGTCTCACCCAGCCCCATTCAGTGTGATCACCTGAAAAGGGGACAGAAGGGACCTCTAGGTCTGGGGCAGGGTTCCTACTGCCCTTGGTGGAAAGAGGAAACAGTGGGTTACTTGTAGGAGTGTTGGGAAGGGAGAGGCTTTGTCCGAAACTGTGGTCCCTATACCTCCCCTGAAAGTATAGCATCTCTCTAGCAAGACACAAACGCTACCAATGTGGTTTAAAATGCAAAGAGCCTTGGGAAGGCAAAACCCCTTGGGCTGCAGTGTGCTGTGTGAGGGTTCTCCAGGAGAAGGAAAAGGGGCAGATGCCCAGAGTACTGAAGACACACAGCAAATGACAAAGCACAACAGCTCCTCCAGACAGACCACCCTATTTTACAGCTGGCCCAGAGAGAACACTGAAACGTTTTATTTAAGAGGGCTAGTGTGGGGGTCCGGAAAGATGGCTCCACCTTTAAGAGCGCTTGTTGCTCTTGCAGAGGACACAGATTCCATTCCCAGCACCCACGTGGTAGTTGGTTCACAATCATCCATAATAACAGTTCTGGGATATCCGTTGCCCACGTCTGACCTCCGAGGGCATCAGACATTCAGACATACATGTGGTGCACATACGTACATACGTTCATACTCATATACATAAAACTTTAAAAATTTAAGGGGATAGTGTGGTGATGAGGCACAAGAGTGGAGAAGGTGAAAAGTTTGAGGCTGTGGAAAGTTTCCTGGGGGCGGGGGTGCGGAACAGACATAGTCACTCATTTAGTGGCTGTTGCTTGTTTTATTATTTGTCCAAAGGAGGTGGTATTGGACCGAGGTAGAAAAGATAGCAACACATCCGAAATGAGCCAAAGGACCCTTCCTATGGCACAAAGCCCTTCAATCCCATGCCGCCTTGCAGCGGGGTGCTGTAGCCGCACCTACACTTTGAGGGCTCCACTTTCTGTCCCTGCAATTACTAAGACAGAGAAAAGGTTGGAGGTTCAGTGTGGTTATCACAAGGCATAATCTGATAGGACGGAAGGTAACTGCCACACCTCCTTAAAACCAGGTGTGCGAGCGGAGCTGTGAGTGTGCCAGGGTTCCCTAAGAACAGAGTGTCGTGTAAGCAGATCCCAGGCATTACAGGCCCGGCTCTGCCCTCCTCTCTTGGTGCCTTCTAGTGTTTCAGTCCTTACAGTATTTCCTGAATCTTGCCTTGTAATTCTTGGCATGGGTATCTATACAACAATCACGAGTCAGAAAGGAATAAATGCCTTCTGACTTTTAAACAGGATCCCACGACATAGCCTTGGCTGACCTAGAACTTAGAGATCCAACTGCCTCTGCCTCCCAAGTGCTGGGATCACAGGTGTGAGACACCACAATGAGCTTTCCCCCTTTCTCTTACTCCAGTTGAAAGATTCCACGGGCGGAACTAAGTCCGCTTAATGCACATGCAAATGAGTGAACCGTAAACGTCTACTTTTCTGCAAAGTAAATTCTGGTTTCCATAAGATGCTCAATGGATCCGTAATCTGAAACATGTTCTGTTACAGAGGGCTTTGCACAGAATTGACTTATCTTAAATATTTGTATTCAAGTGGGAGGTTTTTCTCATTCTCTTAATACTGACTCTAAACCGATCCCGTTCCTGGAGCCTAGGGTAAGGCCTGCTTGCAAAGGGCTGTCCATATTTTGCTTAATTTATCAGAATGTAAGCAAGAGAAACACATTCCAGTTCAAGAAGGAAGGCTATTCTCAGCAGCAGGAGAGAGTCAGGGGCTGGGATGCTCAAGTAACCAGAATGCCTAGTCAGCAAAATGACTTCACCCAGCTCTTCCTGAGCAGAGCCCTCATTAACTAGATTGCTGCAAATCACTTCCTCCTGCTTCTCTGGCTAATTCCAACTGTGTTTGAGAAATGAATATCTTGGGGGGGGGATTACAAAACCCAGCATATAAGCCTTGAAGAGAAAAATACCCACTTTCACGCTCTTTGCTCTTCTTCCCCCCTAATTCCAAACTTCTCTTATATGGAAGATCAGTTGTACGTTGTAAGATTGGTATTAATACAACCACCAAAAAGACAAACAGTGGCCAACTCATGAACCGACAGAGTTGGTAGGAGCCCTGGTGCAGGCAGCGAACCTTAGAGTCAAGAGTCTCGGTGTGAAGCCCTTCCCAGAACAAGGAGGAACACTATTGGAAAGCTCGTTATTCTCATCAGCTGCCCAGCTGAGCTACAGCCCTTTGCCCTAAAGTTCTTTTTCCTGGGAGAATGAGATGCTCAACACCAGTTTTTCCCTTTGATGAAGCTATGAAATTCAAACAAGAATGATGGTAGTAACTTCCAATGCTGCGATTCCTGTCCTAATTTTCTAGCACTTAAAACAAGACAAAATTGCACTCAGCACAAGCCTCCGTCACCTCCCTTGAAGTCAACAACAACAACAAAACACCGTGTGTCTTTCCACCTCTGCAGGAGAAAATAATTTCATCTCAGAGATTCAGACCTAGATACACAAATCCACAACTGTCTATATCGCGGGAATACTGGGGAAAACTTCGTACACAACTTAAGCCATCATGGTACTATTCTGCCACGACTCCCTTTACCACTCAGAATACCTTTAAACAAAACCAAAACTCACACCATCCCCACTACTCTTATCTCTAGAACACAATTCCTAGAAAACCTAGCTTGTACAGTCTGCACTGAGCATGCTCTCTTTAAAGACCCTGCACCCGTATCCACACAGACACCAAAACAGGAAGGGAAGGCTGTGTTCAAGGGGACAGTTTTTTCCTTCGTGTGGGCCTGGGTTACTTGGGGGTGTAAGGTCCATCCTTTAGCTTTGTAACCTGATCTCAGCTCTGTGTGTGTGTGTGTGTGTGTGTGTGTGTGTGTGTGTGTGTGTGTGTGTGTGTGTGGTGTGTGTGTGTGTGTGGTATGTGGTGTGTGTGATGTGTGTGTTGTGTGTGATGTGTGTGTGTGTGTGTGTGGTGTGTGCAGAATGAGTGAGTGGTCTAGGAATAGGGAGTGAAAGGTCACTGTATTTTTCAGAGGTAGGGTGAGAGGCATGTAGTGATGGGGAAGGTGACAGACCCACACAACAATGTTGTCCTCCTTGCTTTCATAGATAAAAATGGGGACTCTGAGCGCCTAGTCACCGTCTCTTTCCTGTTTCCTCGTTACTTTTTTAACACAGTGCTTACAGAAGTACGTTTCACAGAGTCACATGTGAGGATATGAAATAGATACTGAGGCCAGATAAATGTAGGAGACATTGCATTAACAGACACTGAGCAATTGACTATGGAAGTTCTCAGAGCCCTTGGTATACTGACATGGCCCCTTTCACTCTCCCTCTCTGTAGAGGGAACACAATCAGCACACAAGGGTGATGTGTAAATATTTAGGAACTGATACGGCATAGACTCCAACCAATGAGAACGGACCTCACCCCTCACTGCTGGTTCCACTGGACCCTTGACAGTGGGTTCAAACTGAATAGTCACACACACGCGCGCGCACACACACACACACACACACACACACACACACACACACACACTTTGCACTGTTCCCCAAAATTTTGCCCAAGGAATTCTGTTTTCATACGAACTGTCAAGACACACTCCGGCCACCAGAGGCAGCTCTGGCAGTGGCTGCTGGCAGCACCGGCTGACAGATTTGACCATAGCTACAGAAGACACAGGTTTCAAAAGACAGATGTCCCTCTGTCCCAGCTGCTCCCGGGGCTCTGTCCCTGGTGGGTCAGCAGGTGCCGGTCCAGGTGGTGCTTCCGGCCAAAGCTCTTCTCACAGCGCGGGCAATGGAAGGGTTTCTCCCCGGTGTGGGTCAGCCAGTGTCTCACAAGGTGGTGCCTTCGGCCGAAGCTCTTCCCACATTCGGTGCACACGTGGCACTTTGGCACTGGGGGGGCAGGCTGCTGTTTCCCAGCTGCAGGGCTCTCTCCGACCTCTTGGCCCTTGTAGGACTTGCCTTCCGCGTGCACTCTCTGGTGACTGGCCAGATGGGAGTTGCATCGAAAATTCTTGCCACACTCAGAACACCTGCTTGGCTTGTCACGTAGATGGGTCTTCTGGTGCCTGATCAGGTGATGCCTTCGCCCAAAGCTTTTCTCACACTTGAGGCAGCTGTAGGGCCTCTCTCCAGTGTGTGTCTGCTGGTGCCTGGCGAGGTGGGAGCCCCATACAAACTGTTTCCCACACTGAGGGCACGTATGGGGCTTTAAGAGAGAATCCATCCCCGAGCTACACAGAAGGCTTGAGAAGCTGTCTTCCTGAAGAAAGGGTGGTCTTAGGAGCATTCCCCTGGAGCCCCTGGGCATGGACTCCCAGCTCGGCTCCTGCCCTGGATTCCAGGGAACAGTATCTTCAGATACACTGGATAACATTCTGGGAGGTTCTGCCTCTAGTTCAGGAGTATCACCCTCATGTTCACTTCCGTCTCCTATGGGGAAGGAAGAATACCATTCTTAAAAGTAGAGTCCTGGGCCAGGCTGTGGTGGTGCATGCCTTTAATCCCAGCACAGAGCCAGGCGTATCTCTGTGAGTTCGAGGCCAGCCTGGTCTACAGAACGAGATCCAGGACAGGCACCAAAAATACACAGAGAAACCCTGTCTCAAACCACCTCCCCCCAGAAAACAGACATATTTAGAAGACATCTCTACAATGACTTGGATGCTGACCAACAATAACAACTCTCATCAGGTGCCTCTTATGTGCTTTGACAACCTTTTGCTCTCAGGTGTTAACATATTTAACTGTAATCACTTAGAAATGAGGTCTCACAGGTATGGCCGACTGTAGTGGGTAGCCATTCCAGCTTTGATCGGGAAGTTCCAACCCCCATTGAGCCTTCGGTAACTGTCACGCCTACAAGGCGGGGCCGAGAGAGCACCCTGAAGACCCAAGATCCGGATGCGACGTCTCTCTTGGTTTCTGGACCCTGGACGCTGGAGGTAGACCGAGCAGAGTTCTCCAGAGAATACCGCCGGACTGCGCCACACCTTTCCCAGACCCTGTTACCTATCCCTTCACTTGTGAGTTACCCCACAAAATAAACCTCCCTTTTAACTACATGGAGTGGCCTTAATGATTTCACCAATAGCCTATGATTCAAGCCCACACAGCCTGACTTCAGAGTCTGCCTTCCACACCTTCTGCACCCCAGCCTTGCTTTTGGGAAAAAAAAAAAAAAAAAGAACTCTGAACTTTTTGTTTAGAGACACAGTAAAGACGACAGGGCAAGAGAGAACTTCTAGGTCCTCACCTGTGTATGTGACCTTCAGGATATCCCTCCCTTCTAAGTCCTGGGGGTCAGGGACCCATTGCTCTTCTCCTCCCTCTAGCTGAGAAAGCATGTCCAGTTTGGGGATCGGAAACCCTGCCAATGGAAAAAGGGAACAGACACGCGCCAGCTTAGTTCAACAGCAATTCTGTACTAATGGACAAAACCGCTTCCTTGTTCCTCTTTGGGATGCCAGGGCAGAAGAGTCAGACACAAGCCTCCCGTCACTTCCGTTAAGTCCCTCTTCCTTTCCCTAGAAAACCCCATGCTCTTTCTCAACGAACCAGGTCTCTCCCACTCAAGTCCTCCCAGGCCATGTCCATTCTGGTCATGACTATCCCTCAGACCCACCGTAAGTTCCACCTGCAGCACCCTCACCTCCCCAGGGTGATGCTCCTGTTCCCAGGGACCTAGCTCCAACTGTCCCTTCTCTGCTCTCTAAGAAGCCTCACATTCCTACCCAAGATGAACTTCAAGTTTTCACTCCATAGTTTAGCATTATTTTTTAAAAGGATCCCTTGCTTCAACTCTTTCGGGCTTAGCTCCAATATTCTTTCTTTGGCGGAAGCCTAGGCAGAGCCCCTGCCAAGGAAAGCCCCCCAGGCAGGCACTATCCAGCAGGTGGTCCCGTCCTCCCAGGGAACAGCCTTTCAGGAAGAGGGAGGTCCTGCTTACTCAGAGAGACGACAATCCCGCAATTTTCCTGCATGACGTATTCTCCATAAAAGTCTGTCTGAGAGGGATCCAGGCTCCGCCACTCCTCCTGAGAGAAGCACAGTGACACATCCTTGATGGTTACCAGGCCCTGAAACAAGACAGAGGGTTGTCTGTCAGCAGCTGCCCTGATGGAAAATCCGATCCCACTCTGAAAGGCTGAGGTAGTCCAGGAAGGAGGGTGAGAGAGGACCCAGGAAAAGATGCCAACAGGTCCCTAGGCAAGGCCCACAGCTTTGGTAGAGAGAAAAAGGGTAAAGAAAGGAGGCCAAGGACGGAGTGAGGATAATGTTCCCGCGAGAGACCGTGAGAAGTCAGAGACGTGACCACCGCATCACTCCCTCTTTAACTATAGGCATCTACTCAGTCTCCTCTTACCTCCTCATTCTTTCCCGTAGACTGTACCACAGCCTCCTTCCTCCAGTTGACCTTTTCTGTCAACACAACATGATACGAACAAAACGCGCTTACTTCCCTGGTATGCTGATGACAGCTAGGGACAGTGGTTAAGCCCCAAATCTGGAGCCAGACGATTGTTAGCTCTACCGCTTACCAGTGGTATTATCCAAAGGCCTCCATCTCTCTCTGCCCCAATGTTCTCGAAATAAAATGGAAGGCTTGCTTCGTTCTCATGTCACATAGTATATATAAAGTGAATAGAAAAGAGGACGCATGATAAACGCTCTGCAGGTGTCTCTATTGCTGACGCTGCTCTTGCCGTAGCTAGTCTCTAGACTTGTGCTCTCTTTCTGGTTCTTTGCATTCTTCCTCCCTTTCTTCTCTTCCCTAAAAGCTCCACACTCTACACAACCCTGTCTACTTTATGCTCTTCCAAGCTTTCCTTGGGCCCTCTTTTCTTACTTTTTCCAGGATTTTTTTCTTTTTTCTATTTTATTTTTTTTTGAGATCAGGTCTTACCATGCTACACAGACTGGCCCCAAATTTTTGGGCTCAGACAACACTTGTGCCTCAGCCTTCTTGGTAACGGGAATTACAGGCAGGCACTCTCATGCATGATTTCAGATTTTCTTCTCAAAAGAAGTTAGTTATTCTGAACTTCCCCACCCATCCCACAGATGACAAATCCATGATACATCCCTTAGAAGCAGAACCTATTTGGTTATAAGCATACCACTAGTGCTCATGGTATGAGCACTATATCCAGAGGGATGATGCCAAAGCTATGGAAAGGCGACTGGCCCCACCTTGGAGAGAACAAGGGGAGCAGAGCTCACCTGGGATCCGGCTGCAAGGAGGGCAGCTGCCATTTCCCAGTCTCCAGTGTTCCCCTCCTGGGGGACGGCAGGAACCCAGGGAGTAGACTGAGCTGGTCAGGGGAAAGAGGAACCATTAGAGATGAACTACGCAGCTTTCCCAGTGTGTACCGGGACCCATGCGTGCATCTTCTCAGTCTATGCTCACTGGTAAAAACTCAAATGCATACCTATAGACGTAGAGGCCTCCACTCAAAGTGTTCTGTAAGGATTTAGGGACATTCGGTTAGAAGAACTGTCGTTTGAGTGGACAGTGCTGGATACTTGTCAAGTAAAGTACATATTATTGGCCGTGTTCTCCAACAGGAACGAGTCTCTAGCACTTCCTGAGTCTCCCACATTCAAAACCATTAATTATGCACTTGCATGTAGGAGGGAAGACTATGTGAGAAACAGAAGAAGCCCATTCACAGTTTGGAAAATGCAGGACCTCACTGTGTACTGGACAGCAGAGCCCAGGAAAAACAGGCTGTATGCGGTATGGGGTGTGCCCTTCAGTCCAGGGCCATTAGAGTTACTATTATTGCTTGAGACAGAGTCACGCTATGTAGCTCAGGCTGGCCTGGGTCTTATGGCAATCCTCCTACCTTAGCCTCCAACTAATAAGATTCCAGGCCAGGTTAGGGATTTTTCATGCCACTTTTTGAGCAGAGACTGGAAGACTTCTAGTGCTTCCGAAACACCCTCTGTGTTCTTACCCTTCTCCTGAAGGGACAGTGGCTCCTCTTCAGGACCACAGTGAAGGTGCTCCAGGGGCCCTGGTGCTGTTCTCCACGGGCCTTCCCGGTTTCCTCTGTCCACCTGGGGCTCTGCTCCACCCAGCTGTACGCTCGCCGACTCCCATCCTGCTCCCAGGGCTGCCGTCTGTTCAGAAAGCATTTCTGCAGCAAGTACAGACTGTGACCTGGAACACGCCAACAGCAGCTACAGAATGGGGTGACACGCCAAAGGTCATTTCCGAGGACAGTTCCCACGGCCAAGGATGAAACAGTAAGAGGAGCCCGGCAGAAGACGAACTTACAAAGCTCATCATTGGTTCATGGTGTGAGCCAACACCTTCCTGGAGGAACTAAGGAACTGACCGGGGCTACACAGTCAAAGCGCTTTCATTTTGGGGACCTCATGCTATAAACAGAACATCCCCGAGGACTGCAAGAACTTCACTTAGAAATAAAAGAACAATCCTGAAAACCCAAAGGCTTGTCCTTGAGTTTTCTATCATTGTATTTCTATCACTCAAAGTGCAGTAAATGTGGGGGAAATGCAGGAAGAAATGCCTTCAGCAAAGATGGGTGCGGTCATACCTGGAGAATCTGTGCCACAAATTACGATCTCATCAACTGATTTAGAAGTCCCACCGGGGGGTGTGGCCTGTCATGAGCACCTGTTCTTTCTTTCAGATGCTGAACCAGATAGCGTCTCCCTTAAGAAAAGCCTCAGCGAAGGGACATATGATCTGTCACTCTTAACGCAGGAAATGAGAACTGGTAGACACACAGCGGCAAGACAAGTAACCTGGCGAGCTGGAAAGTGAGGTCTGAGTACCCAGCATGGCCCTAACTGAGAGGTGAAACTGCAGGCCAGCGAGGGGCTGAAGTTTAATTGGAGAAGGAGGAAAGAACAGAGCGTGGACAAGAGATGGGAGCCAGGGAAGCAGTGTTATTAATACAACCTTTGGGGGAATTAGCAGCCCCGTGGTCTGAAATGCAAAGACACACTTGTTTGACAGGCACTAGTCACAGGACATTATTTAAAAAAAAAAAATGTATCCAACTCCAAGAATCGTACGCAGAAGCCAGGATTTGTTCATTGGAAGAAATTCAAGTCAAGAAAGGGATAGGAAACACAGCCCCTAGAAAAGCTAAAATCACTGGACACAGTTTTGGCTTGTCAAGCAACAGAAGGCTGACCAGTCACACCACCCGTAAACATCTCTGTGTACAAAACAGAAGAAATGGGTTTGGGGCACAATAAAGAGATTTAGGTGAGTTAGTTTTTTTGTTTTGTTGTTTTGTTTCATTTTTTTTTAAGACTCAGTCCCACAGAGCATATGACCAAGCTTGCACTCCTCTTTGAACATTAGAACAAGACAGGTCCCATTTGAGAATGACTGCAGAAAAACTTCCTGCTTGGCCATCTATTTTTGTGATTCTTATTCAATGCTCAAGTAGACAGAGCCACCAAAAATCTCCCAAGAAGGGGTCAGGGTTTTGGTAACTATTTTGGCTCCCGTGGTCATTCAATTACCCAGGAGGCTGGGAAAGGCTCCCACTGACCCCGGCGGCTTACTTCCTGGTCTATTTTTCATTGACAAAAGATTTCTAAGCCCAAAGATGACTTTGGAGCCTCACGGATACATCCTGGACTGATAACCAGTTTGTGTGTTCTCCCCTTCAGAGACTTCTCATGAGAAAGGAATAGAGACTAGAGTGGGAATAAGGGGGAAACTTCAATTTTAGCTGTCCTCTGAATTTCAGCCCCTGTGTTCTTTTCACTTTTAAATGCCCGGGGCACCAACTGCCCTTCTTCACCTTAAGCCTTCCTTGTTCTCTGGCTGCCTGGGCAAGCACTCCAACAGGTCTCATGTCCGGCGCAGTACCTGGACACCTGTCTCAAACCCATTTCCCTATCATCTATCTCTCGGCAGAAAAGTCCTCGGCGGAAGCCTTTCTGAAGAGCCCACTGGGCCGGCTGGACGGCGACAGAAAAACCTTTGGAAACGCTGTCCAAACAGCAAAGGAAGGTGTGGATAACTGTCACCTGCCTGCATTCCCTAAGGAGATCGTGACAGGGCCAGCCCCTAGCTGCAGCCTTAACCTGTTTCTTCCCTTCCTTTTCCCTAGTTCAGAATGATCCCGAGCTGGATCCCAAGCCCAGGTTCTTGGGCTTTCCTTTTTTGTTTGCTTATGCATCTGGGAGGCAGGGCACCCGCAGAAAGAAGTTTTTTGCAGCGGGTTCTGTTGGACAGAGATAGGGCCGTGGTATCCAAGAGTGGCCCAAGGGCACAGGGACAAGAGTGGCTCCAGTGGCCCCTCCGCGGGTGTGGCACAGCCGGGGCCTGGAGCCCGCAGCGAGTAAGGTTTCTTCTCTCCGGGTCACAGCACCCCGGGGAGGGTCAGATTTCAGAAGCGCGGCAGAACCGGAGCCGGCACAGCGGGGCCAGAAAACAGGTTTCCGCGAGCCGGGTGCCGCGGGCGTCCGCGCCAGTGACAGCAGCGGGACCGGGCACGCAAGCATCGAGGCCACCGTCCCCACGGCCAGGCCGGCTCCCCCACCCCAGTGCGCCCGCCCGCGCCCCGGCCCCACTCACCCGGGCTCGGCCCCCTTGGTGCTGCCTCCCGGCCGGCGCGGCCGAGCCCGCGGACCGCACAGCCAGCGACAGGCGACGGCGGCCGGCGCGGGGCGGGCACAGGAAATCCCGCCGCTTCCGGGGCTCCGCGGTGCGGGCGGGGGTGGGCGCGGGCGCAGGGGACAGCTGCACCCGTGCTCCGGTGGCCGCAGCAGCCCCGGGGCGCGCTGCTCCCGGGGTCCCGCCCACAGCCCGTGCCTCCGATCGCCCACCACGCGGGGCTGGCCAGGAGGGCTGGTACCCTCCGGCTAGCCCACGCGACAGCCAAGCCCGGCTGGAGAGAGCACCACCGGGGACAGTGGACTCGGAAGGACGCCTTCCTTCACGTTGGCTCCACCAAGATGGTGCTGTGTGAAGGGGGGCTGTGCTGCTGCATTGCCTTCTGATCTGGAGAGACATGGGTGGCCAACGGGCAGGCCACATTTAGAAGATTTAGTCTAAAAAAAAAAAATAATATGTAAACTACGTTGGGATGAGCATGTTAATTTCGCATATTAGAAGTGTGACTTGCGCTAGGCTTCTTTTGGGCATTTCTAACTAAAAGCATTAAGATGGACGTGACTGGAGAAGACCGGAAAGGCCTACAAAGCAGATAATGGTAGAACCTGCTTGTAAATGATACAGTCACAAGGTTTTATCAAAATCATTCTGCAGAATCTTATAGCACGGACTTTAAATGGCTCAAGGCAGGGCCCATGTGACAGGCGCTCCTTTAATAGGCATGAACTCGCTGCTAAATGTCATCCGTTGTAAATACATGTTGGAAATCAAAGAAAGAGCTGTCAGGGGAGGCACGTGTCAATGGCTATTTGCCATAAATTATAATGTGATATATGTTTTTAAAAATCTACCCTGAGCTGGGAGCCAAGACAAGTGATTGTCTCTGGGAGGGAGATTAGAGACTCACGAAATTGGCGGAGGAGCAGAAAGGGCAGGATAGAGAGGAGACTAGGCTAGACCTTCAGCCGGGGTCAGGCATAGACTGCACTCTAGGAGCGGCTCACGAGATGTGTGGGAACGAGATGTGTGGGACCAGAATGTCTGCACTCTAGGAGCGGCTAACCGGATGTGTGGGCGCGACAGGACCAGAATGTCTGTCCTCAGCCCCAGAGCAGGGCCAGGGGTTCTCACTTATGCACCGTGAGATGTGCTAATCAGGATAAGCCAGCACAGCATCTCAGAGTGGCTGGTCTGGTAAAGGTCCATTTACAACGTGCTGTGAGTTGGCTGAGACCGGTGGAGGAGGTATGCTCTTTGCACTCATGAAAGGGACCAGGCACCTTTCCTCTAGTGTTTCCACTATCTCAAGTGGCCTCAGAGTCGTCCCGTCTATGAGTAAGACAAAGGAAGAGAGCTGTGGCTGAATTATCAGAAGTACTGGGGGCCGATTCTGGAAATGTTGTACTTAATTTTCCTTGTTACCAAAATTCACGCATCTACTTACATGGCCACAAGTAAACCTAGGGTGGCTGTGACGTGAAGTGTGTATGCCTGATAGACTCTATGCTTCTGATGCTTGGTGTTAAACTGCACATACCGGAATGCCTAAACCTAACTTTATCTGAAAAGCCTGTTAGGAGAAGCTGGTAAACGTTCTAACAGCCGCCATGCTCATTTTCCCCCTGGGAGTAGGGACACTGTGAGATACCATCTACCATCCAACATCCTAAAAGAAGCAAAATAGGTTTAAATCTAATGAAGCGGGGCACTAATAGTCAAGGAACGTCTATTTTATGCCAAGACACTATCTTAAATATCACAATTATGTTTTGCTTTGACTGTTCCACCCTCCTTAACAATCAACCAACAAACCCTGTCAAGTGGAGCGATTATCTCCACATCACTTCAGGGGCATGGAGTGAAAATAGAACGCACAAAATAAGAAAAATGAGCCCTGGTCTACCTTCTGACCTGGTGCACCTGTCTTATTATCTCTCACCATAATTACATGGACGTCCAGACACCGTGCCACATTGAGGGGGTAACTAAGTACATGGAGAAGAGCAAGCAGAAGTCTCCACCTTTTAAAAGGTTTCTGACGGAAGGGTTTGGAGATCGGCTTTGGAGGTGGGATGAGAGAAGGGCGTTGCAGACCGTTCAGAGGGTGCTAATGAACGTGCTGGTGGTATGGGAAGTTCACAGACATAGGGATGTCCCTCTAGAGCAGAAAAGAAACAAAGTAGGAAGCTGGTGGAGTGGGTCAAGGGTTTTATTTTAATTTGCTGTGTCAGGAGATCTCTCTGAGTCACTATCCATGTGTTTATATGGAAATGATGTCACTATCCATGTGTTTATATGGAAATTATGTATCTCATGGTTCTTAGTATGTCCTTCTTATTATTATGGTTCTTATTATTTAGAACCTGACAGTCCTAGCTTGCCTTTTGATGAAACTCTGTTTTTTTAAAAAAATGGATGCATTGTCCTACAGTTGGATTCTAATACGGGGAACACAGACTGCCTCCGAATGTAGCGGTTCTTCCTGGGCACAGGGAGAGGTTCTCGGTTCTCAGGAGAACTTCCAAATGTCTTAGGTGAGCAGTCTTTGTGCGTCAGCCCTGGCTCCTCCATCTTTGTGTGTCAGCCCTGGCTCCTCCATCTTTGTGTGTCAGCCCTGGCCTCTCCATCTTTGTGCGTCAGCCCTGGCTCCTCCATCTTTGTGCGTCAGCCCTGGCCTCTCCATCTTTGTGCGTCAGCCCTGGCTCCTCCATCTTTGTGTGTCAGCCCTGGCCTCTCCATCTTTGTGTGTCAGCCCTGGCTCCTCCATCTTTGTGTGTCAGCCCTGGATCCTCCATCTTTGTGTATCAGCCCTGGCCTCTCCATCTTTGTATGTCATCCCTGGATCCTCCATCTTTGTGTACTAGCCCATAAATATTTAGCAGTGGGGAAATTTACAAATTCTTGGTGCCTCTGCTCCTCCACCCCTCACGCCCAAAGATTCTAGTCCAGAACAGAATCTTTGTGGGATGTCTACTTCTCAGTCTTCCTTGGCAGTTCTCACGTCAGCCACTGCTAGAGTCACTCCTCTGAAATTCTCTTAGGAAACAAAGACACAAATAAGTAAACATTAAAAAAAATCACACAGGAAAAGCACAGGGACATAGAAAATAGGTTTTAACCCCCCCAAAAAAACCCTGCATGCTTTGATTTCAAACACTTTTAAACCTCTTGCAAGGCCCAAATAGTACAGTTAGAATTGTGCCATAATAATATCAATCAGGGAGAACCAGAGGGGCTCAGTGTAGAGTGCTTGTTGAGCATGCGAGAAACCCTGGGCTCCGTATTCAACTCTACCCCACCGAAACAAAATAAACAAACAAAGGAAAAAAGGCTGGAAAGGAAAGCCTGGTCAGCTCTTTGTTAGTTATTTATCTAGAAGCACTTGGTATTGTTTGCCAGTGGTAGCAAGGTTGAGATTTAGGCTGGGCAGTGATGAGGAAATAATAGTTTCGGGGTGCCGGGGTCAGGGTAAGGACAACTATCCATAGCTTCCTATGCTCTGGTCCAGGAAGAGAGTTGGGAAGGAGGTTTGTCTATGGGAGTGGGCATCCACATGCTGAGGGTCAATTGCATTTGACCATATTAGTTTTCTTTTCCCTTAACGTCTCAAAGATGAAGCAACATAAAATATGGGGCCAAAAACAGGACCTGGTCTTCAAGGGGAAGTTCATATCCTCCATTTTTCTAACCAATACACCTGTCTAAAGTTCAAGACTGACCTTACACCACCTACGAAGGTCACGACCTGGTGTTGCTTTGGAAATGTACTCTAGGTTATTAAGAGAAGTTTCCGCTCTATTCAAACTGGTTGGTTGGTTTTCATTTAAACTGGGGTTTTTCGGTCAGCACTTGCAGATGACTTAGCTGTCACCCCTCCTCTTACCTGACCCCAACCGACGAAATACCACCGTTTCTCACGCTCTCAGCTGCCGGAAGTTCCCTCCTACTTCTGTGCACATGGAATCCGTCAAACCAGTTTTGCCTCAATCAGCCCCAAGGCCCTACTTTAGCTCCTTTTGATAGGTATCCTGTGTTGCCCATGAGGGCTTCAGTCCATTCTTGACATGTGGGCCTTCCCTGTTTTGTTTTGGTTTGGGGTTTTTTGTTTGTTTTTTTGTTTATCTCCTTCAGTGCACATATCTAGAACCCATTTACTAGAAAAAGAGAAATTTCCGATTCTGTGAATTCTCACATACAGTACTTATCTATCCCACTATTTTGTCATCAAGACACAAAGGGGGTTCAATTTTTCTTTCATTTCGACCAGACCCTCTAGAGAGGCATGCTGACTATCACCAGTTTCTACAAAGAGTGACACAAACTTGAAAAAGATGAGCTGGCACACAAGTGTCCGTTCACTGTTTTCAGGAAGGATTGATTCTGTCTCATTGTCGACTTCTAGCCCACTTTACCCCTCCCTTTAGACACGACTGCCGGCTACACCTTCCTGAAGGCACTCGACCTCAGAGCTGGTATTTAAGACCTACAATAGTAGCCTGGGTTTTAGAGTAAAGCCTCTTGGGCGCCCTGGTCATTTCCTTATTGCTTACTAACACCTTTGCTATTTCAGAGGAGCAAATGTTAGAACACTATGAGCTCCTTCTGCAACAGGCCTTTCTACAGATTCAAGAAGGTGTTTTGTTTGTTTGTTTGTTTCCCTTTATCCTGACTTTCACTGAGCTAGCTTTCTTCTGTAGGATTGAACTGTGATTCAAATTCATGGAGGGGTCACGAGGAGCAGCTGAGGTTTCCCACCATGAAAGGCCAGGACACTGCTCAACACGAAGCCTGAGTTGAAATAGAAGCCCCAGGATTGAAGGGATTATGGAGAGAAGTTGAGGCTTGGCACCATGTAGCAGGGTCAGAGTACCAGAAGAGGGTCCAGGGCAGGCTATTGGTAGGTGCAGTTACAGTGGAGACCCCCAAAATTTGGAGGTGTCCATACCATGGGATGACTGCCAAGGAAAGCAGAAGCTGTGGAGTAGAGCCAGCCTGAGCTGAGGAGGCAAGCTGTGTGTGTGTTCTGTGGGTGGCCACCCAAACCCTTCGGAACCCAGAGGATCACAAGTGAGC